TGAGAAAGACGAACTGGGAGAGAGCAGAGGCATACACACACGGTTACGGATAGATCAATAAGGCCTGTTTCATACGTCGAATTTAATTCAGACGAATTTAATTCGTTATTAAATTCGTCAATTGGTCGACACTAAAATGGTTTCGTTTCAAACGACGAATTTAATTCAGACGAATTCATTTCATGTTTAGCGATCATGGATTACCCAGAAATAAAAAACCACGAGACCAGAAAGAGAGAAACAGACTTTAACATAATTTATGCATTTAATTCGACACGACGATAACACGTCGTATGAAACGAAGACGCGCTACAGACGTTGTATCCGTCTGACCATGACGGATACAACGTCTTGGACGAATTTAATTCATCAGACGGATTTAATTCGTTTCATACGACGCACTAACGTCGCATTTAATTGGTTCAATTAAATTCGTCTGAATTAAATTCGACGATAGTGCGACGTATGAAACGGGCCTAAGTGTCAGACAACTGTACCTTCACGGTAGAAATCCCAAAAGTAAAGAAATCGGCGTAGTCATCATGAACCAAACTTTCCAGATTCTTAACCTATAAAATAAAATTACTTTAAATTAGACGAAAATATTTTGCGAATATCTCGAATACAGGATTCTCGTAAATTGATCATTCAATGATCAAGATGATTGTTCGAGTATGTAGTTTAAGAGGCTTGCAATTGTTTGTGTATATAACATTACCTTCTCGTACAGATAAAATAATGTTTGAATTTCGGCGAAGAAAAGAAAATCGTCCTATAAAATTAAAAATTCAGATAACCAAAGTGTAGTTTTGTACGGTGCAGTACAGTAACGCCTGGAACCAGGACAGCAGTCCAGTGCAGTGGATTGTGGTATAGTTAAAACCAGGGGCAGAATGGTAGCTTTTTGGGCTTACTCCGGTTCAGCGGCCGGTTATACGAAGGCTGGATAATAATTTTTTAAGCTTTCTAAAACTGACCGTTGATAACTCAGATATTTATATAATATTTTGCGTCATTGTGAAGACCTTATTTTTCGCTGCTGTTTCTTTACAACTGTAGGGAGCTTAAAGTCTCTTTTTATAAATGGAGGTCTATATCCGAAGTTTTATAACTTTTACAACATTTAAAAAATCACTATCCTGTGGATAGCGCTATCTGGCCTTCGTACAACCGAGCCCAGTTCTTTACTTGAAATAGTATGTAAAATACAAAAGTATACAAAAAAGTTGTAGTACCACAGCTCTCTCCTCTGCAGAGGTGATTTTAAAGTTGTTCTTCGGACATCTTCGGACAGCTCTCGGAGTTAATCGGGATATGGTGCAAGACAAAAATAAAGCGGACGCGATCGCGAAAAACAATTAATAACCTCTGCTGAGGAGAGAGCAAAAATGTCAACTATAATATTTAAACATAACGTCAACTATAATTTAAACTACATTTTTCTATCGCTAACAAATTGGCGATCATCCTCCTTCCAGTAATTCCGGACCCCTAACGTTCTCCGTGTCTTGGTCCGCGTCCGATTGCTCGACCACTTCCGCCCAACACAAAACAGCACAGTTCAGAACTATACAACACAATTCAATACAAAAAGCTAGCTGGTTAAGGGACCCACCATCTTATTCATATCAAATGGCACATCTTCCATTCCAGAGACGACGAACGTGTGCTCTTTCTTTGAGTATTTTACACCTGAAATATAAGATCATACTACAATGAGGTCACTATTGAACTACATCTATTTGTTTTGGTTTGTGGAAAACACCATGTATGCACGCATATTAATTTATTATACATCAAGTATCAAAGTTCATGTTTTCTTGCATCTCACTGGACCAGAGCGTATCACGTGAAAGTCACGAAAGTCTCATGGCATGCAACAGCTCTGAGCGGTGGACATTACTTTTATTCCCCAGTGAATAATAAAATCGTCGAGTTATAAAGCAAAAATTATGGAAACGTTGGCAGTCTCGGGTCCCTCGGATCTAGTCAATAAATGTTAAATATTTATTTTTCATATCTTTTTAGGAAAGCCGGGAGATTATCATGGAACTTGAGCAAAAATTTACAGGTCTATAACGATAATTGGTCACCATTTTGTACAGTCGGAAAATCATCAATCGCATTTCACATACCTTCGCCGAAATCTGCAGTCTCAAACATCTTCAAAAGCTTCAAAAAATAGAAAAAGACGATTGGATGTAAAAAGCACATGGCATGGGTACCAGCACCACGATTTCCTAAACCAAATATTATATGGAAGATCAAATCAAAGAGCATACAGTACGTATAAAGTACATACCTCGTCTTTAGAAAGTTGCATTGTATTTGAATCAGCTTCATCTTTAAACGCTCCTTCCTACAACAAATATTTTGCAATAAACCATAGACAATCATGATTAATCTAAAATCATATAGCCATGTCGCCGGTTGTACGAAGGGCGGAGAGTGGTACGTTAGTATATATAAATGTTAAAGTTTCCTTTTATTAAGTGTGGGATCCATATTCATAGTTCTATCACTTTTCAAGCATTTTTAAAACGGTTGAAAAATCAGTCCGGTAGATAGTGCTATCGAGGATCAGGGTTCTGATCAGGGGACAAGATTTGAATTACGCCTATAGATAAAGAAGACGTATAAAGACTGTTTTAAAGTCAAAGCGGACATACTTTAGCATCCCAAGATACAGTATGGGCATTTCTTCCTAATGTGGAGGCGGCCTTTGCAAACTAAATAGAAAGGAAACTAAGATTAGAATCACTGATAGTAAAATAGGGATGCGTTGATGCATGAGCAACAGCCAATATCCAGTTTTACCTACAACACAGAATTGTTGCATGAATTTCATGGTCAGTGTAAAATTTCCAATTTTCCAATTAGGCAATGTTTCCTGGGTTGGATGATCTCTCATATAATGAGTACACGGTGGTCCAATATTACGAGGTGTCCCAACGAACTAAGAAATAGCGCGAGAGAGTAACTGTACCTGATTTTGTGCAGAAAACGAGATAACCAGCGGTTTATCTTTCAACACATGTGATATATGACTCACAAAGTTATGTATGGGAGATATCAGGAATATATCAAGATTAGACTCAGCTTTGTTCTAGAAAGAGAGTACATTATACGTGTATCATTGAAAGAAAGTGACCCTATGATGTTCAGAAATGGCAGCGGAGCTACACTGATTGATGGCTTTCACTAAGGCTTACGGGACAGCAGAATATCAGAGTTTTAGGCGCGTATAGGAATAAGTAAACATTAGTTGTCACTAATTGTATAACCTCCATATATTCATTTTCCCACTTTGATTACTTCCGATTGATGAACGGTATAGTGCTCAATGAAACCTATACCTATACAGCAAGTGTTACGCCTGGTTCATACTAGGGATTTTGTCGGCGATTTTCTCTCCCTGACAGATGCAAATGAGTGAACTCTCATACAAAAGTATAGAACCTTCTGGAAGTATACATTTGTAAGTCTTCTCACTTAGAAATGTCTTCTCATTCAGTATACATTTCTAAGTCTTCTAAGCATGTCACCCATTTAATCACATCCGTCAGGAGCAGAAAAATCGTTGACAAAATTGCTAGTGTGAAGCAGGCTTAAAACTGCGACACAGAGTGCAGTAGGAGGGAAGAGGCTGAGAAGCACGTCATATGTGCGGAATAAATCTACCCGCACCCCTTATTATAAATTATAAAATAAGAGCTACCTTGATAATGGTGTATGTTGGTGACTTTCCAGAAAATGAAACTGTATTTCCTAAAAAGAAAAATATAAATGAATCATATAAATGATGATAACGTTATACTGTTAATTCCTGTACTTATGTTTGGGAGCTGCAGGGCCATTTAGAGAGGGGGAGCAACGTGCCTTAGGGCTTCAAATTGATACAGGTTTCTCAAGTTGGGGTTCACGAAGAGGCCATCTCAAATGTATACTGTTTCTGCCGTTTTAAAGTACCCAAAGAAAATTTAAAAAAAAAATGCTCCTAAGGTACCCATGGAACATTTTGCCAGGGCCACGCGAAATCTCTCGATTTTTTAAATGGCCCATTGAGAGCAAAGTCACTATTTGTAACTCATGAGCGATACTTGTACGAATTTTGACTTTCCATGCCTAAACCAGTGATCTAGTGCTTACCTTTGCTGACTCCATCAATAATAAATAATACGTTGGCTTTGGGACGATTGAAAATATTTCCTGCCGATAGTCCATCCCAGTCTACATTCTAAAGACAGAAATAAAATTAAAATCGAATTGTTATGCATGAAAACATAGATGTTGAAATCTTTTGAAATTATGATCCCCATGAACTAACGATAGTAAAGATATGTTTACACACTGCGATATGTCGTATACGATTGTCATTCTGGCGTATGAAAATTACTGCTGACATACGCCAGAATAAGAATCGTACACGACACCTTAACCCAGGATCCCAACGATTGTAATTCTATCATCTGGTATACAAGACTGATAAATATGATCACCGTTAACAGAATTGAAGATTTGGAGACTTGATGAAAGTTCTTTGTATGTTTGCATGGAATAATATGAACATCTGGGCTTATGGTTGCAACAGGGGTCACAATAGGGAGGTTCATAGTTGACTTCCACTACCGCTACGAGGGACTATTAACCAATCAGATGCGTCTGATATATCTGATTAACCGAACAGACGCGTACTAAGTAAGTGAGAGGTAGCGATAGTGGAAGTCAATCTGAACCTCGCTATAGTAACGGCCAATCAAATTTAATATAACCGATCAAATTTGTTCGGCGTCGGTAAAAGTGACCGATCGGGTTTTGGCTCTTTGGCGTGTTGTGGACTCGTTAAATATAACGTCGATTTGTAAGAGGTTTCTTGGTATCACTTTTCGTGTTTTAATCTTGCCAAAACGACTTCGCCAAGAATGCTTCCTCGAAGATCAAGCGACAACGCATCACTTCCTATGTTGCAGTTGACCGATCAGAAATCGCGTTTGCCGGTGAAAAAAACGTGACAGGTGTATAATGAAGCATTATTTTGAGTTGCAATAAATACAGTATGCAGTAGACGTGGTGATTTCCACAAAACAAAAGCAAATATTTCATTACAATTTATTACTTATGTTTCTGTTATCCTACAACCTCACATTACCATCTGTGAGAACTAATGGTTTACCTGGAGAGAGGAGAAACCCAATGCCAATGAAATAACTTGGGGAATATCTTGTAATTTGATATTTCCAGCAGATGACCGTAGTGAAACAGAACTTGGAACATTGGTAAAACTCAAACTACCAGTCTCAACATCAGCAACCTATAAACATCGCGATAGAATCTTGAATAGTCTGTGCCAGTGTAGGTAGTGCCAATAATAATAAGGCTGCGGATAGATAGGAATTCAACATCCTGAAAAATACAAGGAGAACTTCAACGTCTCGAGCGAAGGCCCTTCTTAGGAAGTTAGTAGCCGTTTACTTCCCGATGAAAGACCATCGCTCGAAACATCCAAGTTCTTCTTGTATTTTTCAGGTTGTTGTATCAATCCACAGCTTTCTATAAACATTGTGATTGGTAGTATGATATGTCGTATGATACATGATATATAGTATGTTACGGAATTCAAACTAGAGGGAACTCAGAGAGAGCATGCATCTACTGTACCATTATCTCTGCTGGTCTACATACATGAACTTGTGGTTAGAGCTCGACATCTGGCCCCTGTAGCTCAGTTGGTTAGAGCGTTGCACCGGAATCACAGGGCCGCACGTTCAATGTATATACTGCCTATAGTATTGGGAAAATCAGTTTCTAAATCATGCACCGTGACTTGTTTTGTGTATCATTCATTCCGTTCCTGCACAGTAAACACGTCCTTACATTAACGTGTATGAATTATTATGTTTTTTGCGTCACGTGCGTCCGTGCAGATGTCTGCGGCGCTATGTTCCCCTTCTGGGATTGCATGCATTTTTGGGGGCCATTTCCACTGTAAGCATGTGCGAATTGGTGGCCGATCTTTTTCGTAGAAAGCGTAAGCATGCATGCAACGTTCTCGTCAATAGAGCCGTCAAAGTTGCTGAAATGAAAATAAGAACTGCTGAGGTCAAATTATAAATGAGTGAATTATGTACGCGTGGCGTCTGTGTTCTCAAAAGTGGTGAGTGCTTAAATTTCGCCGGTGCTTGCGCACCGGTCCTCGTTGTTAATTGGCTCAAAAAATCAATAATAATATTGCAGAGCATTTGCACACAGGCCATTGAAATCCGAGACCGAGTAGTTATGCTGTATTTTGGGCGGAATAGATAAATATGAGGTCAGCCAATTTTGTGACGTGGTTTGCGGAAAATCTGCGGGTGTTACGGGTTTTAGGCAAAAATGACGTTTTTTCTTTTTTTAATATACTGGTTCAAAGAATGTCACATGTTTTTCATATATATATTTGCCTAATTTTTAACTATTATACTCAAATGTATATTTTCATCCGTGAACACGACTTCATTCCGTTTTATGTAACAACCATTTTAAAATAAAGTCAAATTAAATTTTGCTTTATTCTCATCTTGTACTCTCAAAATAGCTGCATTTTGGAGTATGTGCATTTCAGAATTTCATAAATCTGATGACTCTGTTGTTGAATGGTATTTAACATACTGACCAGCAGGAATAAAAATCCTGATAATCATGATACTATTTCCTAATCCATAACATGTAGTTTCACATGGTAATAAGCTGGAAGTAATACACTGAGTTAGACAATGTCCCATACAACCCTCATATTAGGAGATCTTCAATGGATGATTCCAGATATAGACTAAATTTTGATCTAGGCAAGAAGAACAAAATCCATCACCACAGCTAGAAAGGACATGTTAAAATTAGTAAAATTGCAAAGTTTGGTTGCGAAATGTTGTAAAACGAGGAAAATATAGCCCTGCGAAATTTGCAAATTTTGTTTAATTTGTATTACGCACGGGAAAATACGCCTCTTTCGGCCCAAATGTGGTGCATTTTCCCGCGCGTAATACAATTTAATACAAAATTTGCAAATTTCGCAAGGCTATATTTTCCGCATTTTACAACATTTCGCGGCCAAACTTTGCAATTTTACTAATCCTAACATGCTCTTTCTAGCTGTAGTGATGGATTTTGTTCTTCTTGCCGAGATCAAAATTTAGTCTATAGCTGGAATTGCCTATTGGTCAATAGGTAGGGTTAGTTAACCTTAATCCAATACATTACAATTTAATATAAAGGTTGTATTAATATAACATTTGCATATAACAAATATCTGCTTACCTGTGATGGATCATTCCAATGATGAACCAATGAATCTAATGCTGTGACAGCTGTAAAAATAAAAACTATTGATATTACATCATTCTTAAACTGATGGCCTGCACCTTAAAAAACAATATCCATTTTCTGGCTGGATGTTTCATCTCACTATCTCATAATTATCTCATTATCTGGTACATCCCTAAATACTCTACATCCCTAAATATGGTGCATCCCTAAATACTCTACATCCCTAAATATGGTGCATCCCTAAATACTCTACATCCCTAAATATGGTGCATCCCTAAATAATATCCGGTGCATGCCTAAATACTGTACATCAAAACTGCAATTTAACTTCTTGTAAAATGCTTGTGGGTTACAAAGCAATTAAAACTGTTCTTGCCACCTCTTTTTGCTTGAAATGCGCTGTACAGTAATTTTTCTTATCTGAAATGTTTGTATATGAATGAATGAAAAAATATATTCTGGATATTTATCTGCTGTATTTATTTAATAATAATATCCAGTGAATCCAATCAGTCAAAACTGCTGGTCTAACCTGAATTCCTGAGCCCTAATTACTTGTAAATAAGATTTAGATTATTTAAAATCTAGTTGTAATGTACAGTAGTTGAAGTTGAAGTTGCAGACACTTCACAAAATATTAGGGATTTAGGTTCACTTGACAACCCATTTTCCATGCAAATTTGCTTAATTTATAGCCTATCAATGCTTTCTTGGTTGTAAAATTATTGTTTACAACTTGTTACATAGTTGTGCAGCTGCCATTGAAAGGCTTTCATAAATTACTGAGGGAGGCAGTTGGCCCCACCACACCCCCTAGTGTCTGACAGTGTCACAGTTTCACTCTCAGACAGTGCATATTTTAAACATTTTACTGGAGGGGGGTCATGATTTAGGTCACTCAGGTTAAGGTTAGAGCCCAGTCTGACCACCAACTAGTGAGGCCAAATGGACCCCCGGTATGTATGTTAAAATATGCCTTTATTACTATCTTAGCCGAAAGTATGTACAGCAGTTTCACTCCCTAGGAGGGAACTACTGTACAACCACCAGTTTCCAGGTCACAAACTTTAAATAATTATCTGTGCACAGTTACTCCAACAGAATACACACTACTGGCATAATTAAAAAAAGTTTGAGCCTCAATATCAATTATCAAACCTGTAATTATGACATCAATAATTATATTAAATAATAAATCTAATATTAAAACAAAATCAGGATTATTATAGGAAATCCTATTTTATTAGAATGACTGAACTGACACTGGAAAACTTTACCATCATACATAAAATTGTATGATTCACTGCCAACATTCAAGTCTTCCATTTACGTAATGTACTCAACTAAGAGATTATCTTCTAGTCCTCCAAGTACAGTAGTTATGCACCACTTCCTGTGTATTAGCCATTTATACTGTATAGTATCTTTCTTTTTTCTAGTCCAAGTTGTAATATTTTATGACATGTCATGTAAAGTGGTTAGGTCACAATTGGGATTCAAGTTCTCTTCATAACTCCTGCCACATACGTTGTATTTAATATTCTATTGTGCTAGTCATAATTATGTTTTCATAGTCAACACATTAAACTGAACTAAACATGTGGTCTGTTAAATTTTGTCTCTCCTATATTTCTGCAGTTTTTCACCTTCTGCTGCCCATAACTCTTGTTGAAACATACTAATATCTCATTTCTATATAAGTTTGCATGTTAAATTAAATTTGAATCACAATTTTGGCACTTCTATACAAACATTAATTATTTTGAATATTAGTGTTGTGACATACAGTAACTATCAATGAGTCAATTTTTCCAGCATTCTACAGGTACTGTACATGGTGACAAGCAAACTTTAATTTACAGTATATACTGTAATTCAAAGGATTGGCTGTCTTGGGTAATCTGCATTTTCAAGAACTGCAGATTTGGGCAGCTTTTTGACATGATCACAGATTTGGGCAATTTTGACATGATTGCAGGCTATAAAAAACTGTAAAACTATGGGCAGGGGTGCAAAACAGTTCCCAGTTCACAATATGAAAAAATAGATATTCAAGACAATGAAAAGTAGAGATCTGGGGGGGGGGGGGGGGATGGTGAAGGTTTGGAAATGAGATTTGGCTATGAGGTGCATTCTAGGGATATTAAAATTCTCTCCTCAATAATCCCATGGACAGAATTTTTAAACTCGGGCTAAACAGGAGAATGGTTCACATTTTCTCTGTGGAACAAATGAGTGGTTGATTTTGTGAGATGGACTGATTGAACACTTTCTCAGATAAAACACTTAAGGCTACTCCAAATGAGATCTTACTTTCCTGCCTGGCTTCTTTTCATAAATGCATGCAGGCAAGTGGCCCATTTTCATTATGTACTATTGAAGATACACAAAATGGCCCTCATTCTGCCATCATCGGAATTCACGATAGTCCATTGCAAAATAATTTTCTTGCAACTTCCACTATAATTCACATCTTTGTTTAAATCATACCATTTAAATGAGTGAGAACGTGATCAACAGAAGTCAGAATTTTAATGTTCACAACACTTTTACAGGGTATGCAACAAGTCAAAAAGCATTTCTTGTATGTATCTGCCAAAAGTTATTACAAAACAAATGCTAAAAGCTACTTTGTCAAAGTCAAATAATGTAAAAATACTAAAAAAGACAAGGGGCAGAGGAAAAGAAACTATTATAAGAGTCTAATTAAAAGTGGTCTGATGTGGGTCACTTCACTTGCAGCACTTGACAATTAACATTACCACAATCACAAATGATCACTAATAATTATATCTATCGATCAGTGAAATTGATCATCATGTACACCAATCATCAACGTCATCACGTGACATGACTACCGTATACTGAATGAAGTTATTTTGTCATACATGTATGCCGTGCAAGAAATAATGCAATATTACCCTAGAATAAATAATATAGAACAACACAGTCATGCCTTTCACAAAACACTAAACATTTGAGGTTTGCACATTTGCAATACATAAAATTTATAAGCTACTTTAATACGTCAGGATTTTTACGTTAAATAATTGTGAAAGGAAGGCCAAATGTGATTGAAATCAAACACTGTTAAATAACTATGTCATCGTACATTATTTTCTACTCACCAAAAAGAACATTGATCAAGAAATATAGAAATAAGACCGGCTTCGCTAGACTTGCTCCTCGACGGAAGGTCGCCATCTTGTTGTTCAATATAAATCGAGCTTGTTTACGAGTGTTCACGAGAATTTGCCGACAACAAATTTTAGCTGTGTCTGTCGAAATTATTGTATACATTAGACATTTAGGTGAATATAATCTGTTTATAAAGCTTTAGGAAGGCATTTTTAGAAAAATGGTGACTTATTTTTGAGTTTTAAATTGTCGAATATAAAGAAATTGTATTTCCGAGTGTTTCCGAAACGTTCCGTTCTCAGGTTGGCGCGGTTCACACTCGAGAGTGAGGCTAGGTCAACATATCTCATATCATTGCTATTACCGAGAAAGTTTCGTACGAATTGTGAAATCTAAGCAAGAATTTTAGGTGATCGCTTTATAACAAGAAACTAAAGCAAATGATGTGTCTATCAAGATATTCAGGTACAGTATTTATCGCTTAGAATCGTGCTAACTCGATACTTGAAGACTGAAGTTCGCGAAGAGCCTGCTTACGACATCACGTATGCAGCGAAGACTTCGTTAGATATTCTGCAGTAGAACTGTATGTAAACTTAACATAAACCGCTATTACAGGGCACCAAGAAGGCAATAACAATATACTTTATGTTATTCATCAGTGAAATATACGAATACTAAAAGATAATCAGTAAATTGAAACAGTATTTTCACGACATAATAAATTTGATGTGATCGAAGTAGATCGGATTCGCTCGCGAACCAGCAAGCAAGGCGAAGTGAAACTAGCACAGGTAGAAGTGTAGGCAAAGTGAAAATCAAGTAGTTTTGATAGATATTCTTTACTTTAAAGATAGATTAACATTTCTGTGATCGAAATTGGAGAGAAGAAGTTGTAGTAGTTTAGACAGGATTGCGAACGTAAGTTGAAACCACATGCGAACGAGACTCGTGATCTAATCAGCTATGAAGTGTCTCATGGCGAAACAGCCGATACTCACGACGAAACATTGAATGTTATTTGTTATACACATGGCGGTGAACAAGAATTAGTGAATAGGTATATAGAAAAACTCATTGCAACGTATTAAAGGATCTTATCCACAAATTTTCCGAAATTAAATCATGAAGCCGGACATTTATTGCGGAATTTACAGACGTACTTCGTAAGCGGTTCTTGTTATCACGTGTCAAATATAGTCTATAGAATGAGCATTTGTTTCTCCTCTATGCTATCAGCGTTCTTAAAGTACCGATGGGGATATTTTGAAGCATTTTCTACAGTCTGGTAAATATGAAATAAAGTCAACGCGAGTATCAGCATGTATTTTAATCTTCCTGTTTACTTCATCGCTAGTTTCCAGGCTCCACAACTCGCGCGACACTACAAAGCATGAATATTACGTTACGCGGATCAGCGTATAATCAACTTTACTGCTGCTTGATGTATAAATACATGTAGTAAACGTTCTTTACGTAATGTAGAAATTGAGAATCAAACAACGATCGCGTATAATTATATTCTACTTACTAAATGGTGAATTCCTGAAAAAGTTGATCCATCATGATTCATGTCGATTGAGTTTGTCTATTCTTATTGTTGATAAACAATTATTTACCTGAAAGTACGGTAAAAATGTTTTTTAAATTTAGCGAGTCCGTGCCATCATAGACTCTTCTCAAGAACTGCCTTCTTTCAAAACAACGTATACCCATTGCAGCACAAGTATACCCATTGCAGCACAAGTATACTATAGTGAAAGTTGTGGCATCGTTACATAAAAGAAATCTCACATCATTTTCATTTTATCGCTGGTGAAGCATGAAATACGCAAGGACGAAATTTTTGTCATTATTGTCAAAGAATTAGAGCAGTTTGCAATTGTTTTTGTCAACGAGCACCGTGCCAATTTTGCCATTTGGCATGCTTCCATTATTGCCAATTTCCAAATCAAAAGAACGAACGCGTGCTCCAGCTCAATTTCCGGTTCTGAAAGGTTCGCGCAAAGCAGGCTGGTCATTTCCCATTGTTTAACTGCCCCACACTCAAGTACTGTAACCACAAAGACACAGATGTTGCCTCGCAACATTTGTGAGTCAAAAAATGTTTGTAATGTTGTAGAGCTGGTTATACGAAAGCCGGTAGCGCTATCCACTGAATAGAAATTTTTCAACCATGATTGAAGTGCGACAAAACTACGCCTACGGACCACGCAATTACGATAAAACGAAATTTTAAATATAAATACTGAAGTTTAATTAGCCTTTCTCACGATGACGAATATCCGCCATTTTTGGGTGGCATCTAATTCTCGTTAACCAATTATGCAGACAATTAAAACAATGTGAAAAGCAAGTTTTCAAGATAAACATACCATTTACAAAGCAAATTTACCATCATTCGTCCAAAAAATTATAAAAAGTCGCTGTTATGTGGACTTATCTCGCAGACTTCGACTGAAAAGCCACCCAAGAAATGACGGCGTGAGAAAGGCTAATTGGCTTAGACCAATCAACGGACAATTTTCAAACGCTTGAAAAATCACTATCCGGTGAATAGCGCTATCCGGCTTTCGTAAAACCGACCCCAGGCGTTTGAATTACGACTACAGTTATATAAGACCCATTTATGCTACACCGTAGTGCCCCCTCTCCTGGTAACTGGACAAGTTAAGATACCCGGCTTGCAACATTTTGTGTGCAGTTTTCATCAGTAGTTATGGTTGTCTATATGCATGTTTACTCATAATAACCGCACCCATTCTTTCACAAGAGACTGCAGTCTATTGCGAGAAAAAGTATGGTTCAATATGCAGATATCAGTGAAATTACTAAATCTGTTATGCCTTAATTTCCCTTATACATATCATATTCACAGCCCTTTTGGTAAAGACACAAATAACGACCATATCAAATTAACCCGTCGTCGGACTGTTAGCACAACTGGGGCTAGTTGTTCGAAAGCCAATAAGCTCAGCCCAGAACAACCAGCTCCTGCTGTTTGTAAATCGCAGTATAACGCTACAGTTATAGTCGTACAGTTTACTTTTTGCGTTTCCATAAAAACTTGTTCATGGTGTAATAGAAATAGCTTTCTAAGATGTGATACGGTACAAGAAAAGTGTGACTAATTTGGTTTAGAAATCGCGACCGATAAACTAACGGCAACCCAACCTCGTTCCCAGGCTCTTCCCTGACGGCAAGCTATATTTATACCTAATTACTATGCGGTGAGTGACGTCGCCCGTAAGCAGGCATCCAGAATTGCGTTGTTATCTGGACATTACGTTTTTAACACACGTAGCCATTGGGCTGCCTCTCTCCTACGCAGAACCCCCTTAAGTATTTATAAATAACTTACATGAAGTTTCGTAAATGGGAAGTGATGGGAAGATTGAAATGAAGCATCACTCCCTGCGCGCTCACTTTTCCCTCAATAGAAACTTCATGTCAGCCTCTGCGGGGGAGAGAGGGGCCTACGGTATGGTTGAAAGCAAAAATAGAAAGCTTAAGCAAGCGCTATTTTTGACAACACGGATGTCACGCGTATATAATTTAGCCACAGAATAGATACAGGACCAGAAGTGTCACTCAGACGATATTTTGTCCGAAATTTTACGAGTGCTGACGTGAAAATACGCCATCATATGACGCCATCCTGAAGTGCACACGGACGTTTTTCATAGGAAAACATAGGTACAAAGTGCCGGGTGCACTCCAGGATGGCGTCATAGCACGCAAAAAAATTTCGGACGTTTTCCTTCAGCCACTACACATAGGAGTGACACTTCTGGTCCGGTATCTATTCTGTGATTTAGCCGTTAATTATCGCGTCAGCAGTTCGTGCTTGAAATCAAGACCGGCAATCAAACAACAAATGGTGAAACTATATTACATGTTACATACTAGATAAATTTTGAAAGAAATTGTATAATTATACAACTGCCCTATTTCGTTTTATAGATGGGTGAGGATGGAAAAGATAGCAGCAAAATAGAACCATTTCATAATCTGAACGAAAAATCTTACCACAAAATCATGGAGACCGCATCTCTTTCTTTTAAACAACCAGATCCACTGGGCAATGTGCTTAGTAGTGAGATTAGCAAAACTACAGGTAATTGAGTCCTCTCTTATTGTATTTTCAGTTTTATTTAGGCTCAGTTTGCATGATACCAGTACGAAATAATAGCGGGAATTTTATCAGCGTATTTCCAAAATTCCATCCTCCGAATTTCTCCGCCCTGCATAGAGAGAATCCGTTCTGTGTAGCTAGTGCGATGACTGTACTGCAGCCTAATTTTTCGACCCGGTCACATGAAAACATTTCCCAGAGATAACACTGACCGAAATAAATCGTCTCGGTCTTCTATATGTGGGACTTTAATTAAGTGCGGTTTCCATTTAGTGGTCGAAAAAAAAACAGACGAAAACTATCGATATTTTTTAAGATGCGAGCGATTTCAATATGTTCGCCAAGCTTGCTTTGTGCGAGAAAATACAATTATAAACCTGGCGAAAATCACTCCATTGCACAAAGAGTACTTTTATCATTGCCCAATCGTCTACTCCCTGTATCCTTAAAAAATCACGGCTGTCCACACCGGTCGAGATAACCATCAACATTCCTGATCGTCCAGGATCGTCCACGCGTATTTCCGTTTGATCGCCAAGCAAAAAACAGCTGTGTTTTGACAATTGACCTCTAAATGGAAACCGGGATTTATAAATAATAATTGGAGGTCGGTGCCTTTGGTAATTGAAAGCCAGCAAGAAGTATTGCCATGGCAACATCCCTAACACAGCAGCAAAAATTATACCAGCAACCTGTAAAATAGAAGGAAAATGAGTTCACCATGATAATTCTACTTGATTAAACTAACAAAGTATGGGTGTATATGACTAAAGCAACAATTGTCTGGAGATAAGGCGAATGGGGTAACAAGCGCAACTTGCTGCAACAAAACATGGACAGAAAAAAACAGGCAATTGATCCGATCAGGCCAAAGGTTATAATATAAGACACCACGAACTCTTTAGCGGCTGTGACGTGATCGACTTCCATCAAACGGAAGTCAGCATGCATGCATAATACATCTACCGTTAACCTTGCATCCATTTAACTACACATTTAATTAACAAAGATACAAACTTGGTAAAATGTATCTAATTATCATTTTAATAACAATGTCTATATCTGAATAAGTGTGCTGGATCTACTGAACTAAATCTAAATAATTTTTGAAATTGTATAGAACTAATTGGATAAGTCATGTTTATGCCTGTTGTTGCCCAATTCCCATTTATGGATAACTTGCATTCATAGTTACCACTCTTCTGTTTTACGGTTCAACATTTTCGTAAGCATAGAAGGAGCAAAGGTAACCAATGATTTAAATTACATATGCAGCAAGTAAGTTGGGAGAATACCGGCATAAACACGAGTTAGCTGATGAGTTGACAACATACTTTACTTTAAGGTACTCAGTCTTGCACTTCTTGTAAACCAGTTGCATTTAGAAATAGCATTTTATTGTATATGAAAAACTGTTGCATGGTTTAACTGTTTGATGTTATATTTTTAACTAGAAAATGGTCATGAAATGAAAGCAAACGTTTCTCCTCAGAAAATGGTCATGGGTAAAACTAAAGTCAAGAAGAAGATGCGAGTTGAAGATATTATTACAAATCTAACTAAGAAAGTAAAGCAAGTCGCAAACACGCCACCAAAGGAAAACGAAGTAAAGAAAATCGAAAGCATGCCAACAAAAGACAATAAAGTAAAGAAAGTTGGAAGCACGCTGGCGAATGAAAATGAAGTGAAGAAAGTTGGAAGCATGCCACCAAAGGACAATAAAGTAAAGAAAGTTGGAAGCACGCTGGCGAAAGAAAATGAAATGAAAAAAGTTGGAAGCATGCCACCAAAAGACAATAAAGTAAAGAAGGTTGGAAGCACGCTGGCGAAAGAAAATGAAATGAAGAAAGTTGGAAGCACGCTGGCGAAGGACAATGAAGTAAAGAAAGTTAAAAGCACGCCGGCGAAGGACAGTGAAGTAAAGAAAGTTAAAAGCACGCCACCGAAGAAAAATGAAGTAAAGCAGCAAGTCGGACATACACCAACAAAGGAAAATGGAAGCATGCCAGCGAATGACAATTATCTTTCATCAAGTGGAGAAACACAGGAAGATGACGTGTCTTCGTTTGCAAGCATGTGTACCATACGAAACAATCTACCTGAGTACACAGACTTAAGTGAATTACCACCACTGACGAAACAAATTACGAAAATTTCACCTGGAAATGTTGTTCCAAAAATTATTCAAACAACACCAGCTATCTCCAATCCTCCCAACCCTGTAAGACAGGTTATTTTACAAACCGTTCCACAAAGAACAAATCAACAGACTCCGATAATATTGAACAAACTTCCACCGGGATTTATTATTAGAAGTGATCTTCCATCAAGTTCTTTCCCCAACCTTCAGACTACATCTACATCTGGTCAACCCACGCTACTACTGATCACAAAATCTGGAGGTCCTATTTACCTAACACAAAATAGAAATACTTCCACCAATCAAACGCAGGCTAAACCTGTTAATAAAGCCAACACTTCCCCTGTGTTCACACAAACGAAACCAATTATTAGCAGCAGTAACCCGTCTACATTGCTGAAAGGAAAAGCAATCAATTCAAGTAAAAGTATTTTAAAATTGACGTCACCATCTAAAACAAATGCAGAGAGATCGGAAGAGCA